ACATATATGTAAACGCTTGAGTTATCGTTTCTCGTGACCCTCCTCTAAATGGCAACTACTTGTCAGAATTCAATGTTCTACACTGGTTTAAAACAACATTCTTGCGGTTTAAGATTTCGGTAAGGGAAATACAACTTTCTCTGTTCGTAAAAGAAACATGAAAATATCGCGCTTTCAAAAAATTTTTCTCCTGCTATCTTGCTCTTAAAATAATAACTATTCTCTACTTTTCATTATTTTCTTCCAATACGCTGAAACCCATTCTGCAAAAAAAGTAAAAGGAAATAACAGCAGACAATGTTCAACTGCCAACTCAAACTTTGAAGATTGCAAACCGCTTTTTAATTCTAATACTGACGCCTCCTAACTGTGAAAAAACAGACACGGAAACATTTATAATATAGTCACAATTTAGATTAGATTACATCATTTCTGATTTCACCGTTTTTATACCGCCTGATTGTTACGAGTCACCAAAGGACTCGTCAAAGAAACACGGGCATCACGAAGTGCGCTCAGCAACAGCTGCCTCGTCTGACAAGTAGATGAAGGTTTTAAAAGACAAACTCCATACATAAATTTCGAAAACCACATTAAGCAAGAAAAACATGACATGTGTGTGAAAAAGAGTAAATTTTAAAATAATCTTACGTTTCCTTCCATTAAAAATACTTCAAAAAACTACTGAAAAATCCCAAAATATGAACCGTATTGATTCAAATCTTATGTCTTCTTTTCTGTTAAAAAACTGGATTTTTCTAAATAATCGCATATGAAATTTTTACGCTTCACGACTGAAATAAAAATGAGCTTCTGCTATTTTTGCTATTTTTCTGACTGCTATCTAAGTGCTACTTTTCTGTTGATTTTATAACAATTATCTAGTAAAGATCAGAACTTTCGTGTCATTACACGAGCAGATTCTTAAGGGGTATGTAGTGCACGAGTCAAAGGAGAACAAGGTCCGTAAAATTTCATCACGACTCTTTACCTAATTGCACTTCGCCTTTTCCTTCCTGATAATGCTTACTTCCTTAATCAGCGAAGTTTAACAAAAGATAAGGTGTAACGAAATTCTGCAAAAATGACTCAGAAAGAAGGAGTAATATGAATAAATGTAAACAATGAGGAAGTTATCAAACTAAAACTACTTGGCTCCCTACTACTCATCTCTTTTCTTACAAAACGGATATCTGGATATCTGAATATAGGAGTTTTAAAAACAGTTGTGCATGGAAGTTCTAGCTGCCTGCAAAATCCACAGCCCTGCACAAAAAAACGTTTAATTTCGTTCCCTTCCACTTTACTCCGCAGAAAGAACAATTAAAAGGATAGCCGCCACACAATATCAGAGGATTTGCTTATGAGTGCTAAAGATATTTTCATCGCTCAGCATTTTTCTTCATGTAATCACAAAGCATGGCATATTTGCTATTCATAAATTAAACCTTAACTTGAAGAAATTATTCACGGAAAAGTTTCAGGCGGAAAAAGACCAAATGTTATTGAGAAGCACACGGTTCCAATATTTACACGTTTCCTTCTACAACAACTCAGCTTGTCGAGCCTCTGCACACAGACTCTGTATATATTGACACGTGAGAATCGCATTCAGTCATTTGGAACGATGAAAACTGTATCCGACTTTGCGAACCAACCTTGAACGGATACACAAAAAGTTAGCGCAATGTGAGTTGGCTGTCGTGCTTCCCGCCTTTAGCATTTGCCAGCGATTGGTCAATTGCCAACTTTATAGCTCTAGTGCTCCTGCAGAGCATATTCGGTTCGAATGTTTGAAGCCTCCTTTTGGCGGGGAAAACAAATTCAAATCCGCTGCATTAGGAAGGTAGCACTTCTAAGTTACTTTAGCGCTTCAATCTGGGTGCTTGCTTTGTTGTTCTGAAATTTTGCTTCGTTATTCAAAGCATTCTTTAGCGTTCCAAAGGTTTTCATTTACGGCGGTTTATTTGTGATGTGAATTGATTTTGTCATGTGATATGAATTTGGTATTTCTGGATTTGCTTCTCGAGTCCTTAAAATAGAGTTTAAAGAGTCTTGCAGTTGACTAAAGTGAAACCACGAAACTTTCTGTTACAGTGATGATTTCATTTGCTTTTTGGTTCTTTTATTTTTGTTTATAATGTTCAAGTTCCACTAATTCCTGAATAAGATCATTTAAGTACAATTGTGTGTTACTGTTTCTGATAACTAGCTGCCTTATTATAATTCTCACAGTACAAAAAATTTTGTAGATTTTCAAGTTTTACACACCTGTTACTGGCTCAATATAAGGAGTTGGAGAAAAAAATCAGTTTGTTATGGTAACCTTAAGTGGGATCGTAGATCAAATATTTAAAAATTCATTTTTGCTGACTTGCCACGAAATGAAAGGTGGCATAATACAACATGGCACAAAAATTTTCAAAATTTGCTAGTGTGGTGGTCTTTATTATTTTAACTGTTCGGAATTAAGGAGCAATCTCAGAATTCATAGTAAATAAAGATGCAGATGACAATTTTATGATAATACCGATGCTGTTTTTGCTGCTGTTCTGTAGAATGAGAAATATTTCCGTTTGTAAAGTGCTGCTATTTACCCGTAAAAGCTGAGTAACTGATAAGTGTACGACGTAATCCATTTGTTGATGTTTTAGGTGAGCTAGTTAAAGTGGAAGTAGTCGGTCTACTTTTACCGCAAATCTTTTGGAGAAGAAATTTGTGGAATGGCCGAAATAAAGCCGAGCGAGCTGGAGCTGTTGAAAGAAGAGCATGAGTCGTTGAAACAGAAACTGAAGAAAAGTTCTGAAGAAAATGCGAATATTCGGGAAGCGGCGCTAAAGGTGTTAGAAAGGGACAGGGATAAAACTGTAGAGATCACTCGCCTGATGGAGGAGTCAAGGCAAAAATCATCTGTAATTTTTATGTCTGTGAAATTTGTGGGCTTATTGGAGATAATCTTCATTATTGGCTTACTCAAAAGATTGAGTGCAGTAAGAAGTTATTCAGGCACTTTAATACGTTTTAACTAGTTGAAAGAAGTTTGATAGGATGATCATGGGAATGTAGTTTTAACTTTTTTTTGAGAACATAAAGTTACCGGTATGCAGGAAAATAAGTAATAGATATTCTGTCATTTTTTTACTGCAGGTTTAGGTGTATGAAATGATCTTCATTTATGCAGGATCTCGAACGTTTGAAAACAACTTTAAACTACCGGGATTCTGTTTTATCGGACATGGAGGAAAGGATCAGTGAATTGAGCCAAGAATTACTGATTAGCAAAACAAAATATACAGATGAAATAACATCTTACAAACGCGAAAATGCGTTGCTCAAGGATCAGGTTTGGTAAATCATTTTGGTACTTATGGTTTTTGCAAAAGTTTTCTTATAATGTGCTGTTTCTTATATTTACTAAGTTTAAAGGAGGGTTAAGCGGAGCAAAGCTTGGGAGTATCAAAAAAAACTTTTTCAGCTGCTTGACAGGGATAACGAATATTGTTCCGTAAAAGAAGAATTGCGGCAATTACGAGATAAGCTTGCTCGGAAAGGAGAGCAGCTGGCTGCTTCTACTCAAATAACGTCGTCAAATGAAACTTCGTTGAATATGTCTGCTCAGCCAGAGGAAAATATTTCCATGCTGAAGGAAGAACTTGTAAGATGCATGTGATTTGCAGTGAACTTATTTGGATTTGTTGACCTCTTTTTAAAAACCTATTTTTTATGTCTAATTTTAAATCGCCAAAACATGTTCTTAAGAGTTTAAAGGACTTCGGAAGATGATTTTCTTTACGATGCTATCATTTTGATTGATTTCAAATGCTCATTTACATTTTTTTGAAGATAAAAACATAGTCGCCCTTGCTGTTCCCAGTCAATGATAGCTTCCGGTACCCCGTTAAAAAGAAATGGTTTTTAGTCCAAAATCAGAAACGATTTATCAGAGTGCATTGAAAAGAACGAGTCTTTGGAATTGTCGAATGATGAACTGCAAGTGAAACTAAAGTCGGAGCAGCTAATGAGAGAAAATGTCGAGGAACTTTGCAGCAGCTACAAATTTGAAATTGAGGTTTTTCGTCTTGACTGGTTATATTATCTCCAGTTTTCCTAGGTGGAAACTTGGCAATATGCTGTCGTCATTTTTTCTTATAAAATATTTTCTAAAATGTGCAATTGAGAAAATTTACGAATTTTCTAGACATATGGTTGAGCAGTAAAGTTTTTCATAGTTTTAAAAATTTTGAATTTCTGAAGCATCAATTAAAGATTCGTCTGCATATAATACATGCCGAGCAGATATGAAGTACCCGTGAAGGATACCTTTCTTGGAACAGGAAAAATGAGTCTTTACTTTAGTTCATATTGAAATTAATTTATTTTAAAGCTTTTTCTTGTTACGGGTAGTTCATTTGACGTTAGTTTTTACCTGAGTGTGTGAGCCTAAATTGCACAGCGTGAATATTGTACTTTGATATAATTTCATTTAGGACTGCAAGAGGAGAATTGGTGAGCTGGACGCGGAACTTCTTGAACTGCGTTGTCCAAAAATGACTAGAAAGGGAAATTCGATGTTTTCGGAGGTGAGCTTTTGCCTCCTTATTCTCATCAGTGAATATCTGAGAGCCATAGAGAGCTGAGTAGGAAGTAACAGAGTCATAGGAATGGCAGTACTTAGAATGATATCTGACGCATTTAAATTTTTTAATTCTAGTTTGTTGATGAGAGATTGAAGTTAGAGAAGGATCTGGTGAAGATGAAGGCTCAAATGGACGCACTTGTGAGCGAAAGCGAACTTTTGAGAAGAGAAAACAACAGTCTACGTGAAGATTATTTACTTGCACTATCGAGAGGGACTGTTGATGTATCTACAGGTCACGTCTTCTTTGACTGTTCCTGCTTTAGAACATTTAAACGTGTGCTTATTATTATGAAAGCGAATGGGGCTGAAATCTTTTTCTTTTCTTTTAGGAAGCACTCTAGAAATGCAAAAAGAAATATTTAATTTACGCTCGGAGCTCGAAACATTAAGACAAGCACAGCTCCAGAGAAAAGAAGCGGATGTTCAAAAGGGGGAGTCTAAGGCGTCAGTGGTTATTAACAGAAGCAACGCTTTTCTTCAAGATGCTTGTGCATCTATGAGGTTCTGTCATTTTTTCAATTTTAGATATTAATCGATAGTTTATGCTTTATTTATTTTAGGGAGGAGATAAAGGCTTTGAAGAAGAGACTTACTGATGCTCAAAATGATCGGGCATCGTATTTCGACAAGGTTAACGAGTACCAGAGCAAATTTTTGGTTGCATCAGCTAGGAATCGAAATTTCGAGACTGAAGTTCTAAGGTTGAAAAAAAAATTGAAAAGGGAAGAAACAAAGAATGGGGTAGCGAGAATTTCGAAAGTAGAAAAAGGTGTTTTTTGCTAGATTGGTTGGCCTGGGGACAAATTTTTTGTTTGAAACACTAAAACTGCCACAACATTATATACCATTATTATTTCACCATTAGCTTCATAAAATTTTTTTTTACAGATAGAATGGTTGAAAAAATTTTGAATGTACAAGCGAATATTGATGCCAATTTTTCAACCACATTTAATTCTGTTGGCACAGAGCTGCCAGTTCCAGTTGATACTTGTAAAGAAGGCCCTTTTGACACACTGACAAAAAATAATCTTTCAGAAAATGGTAAATTTTATATCGTTTACGTGACTTGATTCTTTTTACTTTTTCATTTGGGAAATTGTGACCACTGTTGCTATAGGTTTATCCATTGAAAACTGCTCTGAGCATTCTGCCACTTCTTGTCCTAATTCACCAACGAAGAGACGAGGAGATCCATTTGGTGATGAAAATCTACCGTTGGAAAAACGGGTTAGACGTGTTCAGGTATAATAAGAGGAAGATTTTAGAATGTTTTTTTTAAAGTAGGCGGCAGGCAGTAACTGCTCGTTTAATGTTTGAAAAGTTATAAAATTGTAATTGGTGGTATTCTTCCAAAGTGGCAATTGAGTAAGGGGTTCTGCTGTTTAAAACAGGTGAGCTTTATTTAAAATATTAACAGTTTTGCCAAAAAATGCTTTTTGTAATATTGCTTTTCCGAAAAACAGTTGTTAGCGAGCACCGTTGCTGTAATGTACAGAAAAAAGTAGCTGAACGATCGGCAATGTATCCGTTGCTGAAAACTGCAAACTACAGTTACTTTTTGAACTCAATTTTTACAGATTTTAAGCTGTTGTTTTGAAAGAAAAACAAAACTGTTCAGATTTTTGTTTTATAGAGGAATATTGCGGCATACAGACTGCTAGTAATGAGTTAAAGTTTCTTTTGTTTTTATGGGGTTGTTATGGACGCTTGTTTTGCTTCATGAACTTTTTTTTTCATTTTTTAAATTAGGTATTCTAACAACATCTCGCGTATTTTAATTCATTTTTTGAATTTTTGACAGTATTGTGTATAATTATAACTAGCTTGCCGTGTAAGAAACCAAAGGAATAACGTTGAGGAGTTAGTTCCCTGTTTTACTTGCAAATGTTCAGAAATTATCTGTTTTTTGCCCTACCTAATCCAGTTTTTTAGCTTTATTCTCACGGCATCAATTGGTTTAAAAAAAATTGGAAGGGAATTTGATTGAGCAGAAGCCGGAAATTTTTTGGGACTTGGGAAGATGTACCTTAGCCTGGGAGCGATCTGTTTGAGTTACTTCTCTGGTGTTTCAAGTCTGCTTCCAGATTTCTAATCAATAGAATTTAAAGTAATTCTGAGGCATGAACTAAAAAAAATATGCTATCTGGGGTAGATTTGATCAAAAAAAAAAAAAAAATTCTGCACGCATTATAAGGATTGTATCATTATTGAAGCTTTTTTAATGCAATGGGTTTTTCAGTTCACTGACGAAGTACTGGTTTGTTCACTCGGATCAGAAAGTTCATTAAGGGTTAAGCCTTTGGGTCGACGTGATTTTAAAAAAAAGAGACCGAATGTATGTTTCTTATATTGTCTACTGAAAATACTAGCAATCTTTTGATTTGTCTATAGTTAGTTTTAGTTTTGTAAGGTCTTTTAATTTACTATTATCATTTAGTTTCGACCATGAATTTTAAGAATTAGGAGTAACCGTTTTGTCAACATTCGGACTGCATAAGGAGCTTCTTTGTATTGGTCCTTAGAGCTCACTTACAGTTTCGGTTCATTTGCAAGCTTTCGAATTTGTCGTTTTTAAATTGGTTATAGGTTGTAAATACTGGAGTTGATGAGGAAGGACCTGGATGCAAGCAACAATGAATTAGTTTACAGACGTATGCATATCAGTATTTGCTGTACAGTCGCCGTTTCTTTTTTATCGTGACGAAATGGTCTTTTTGAAGTTTTTGGATGCATCTTTCAAGCACCTGCTACGATCGAGCAAGTTTTTGATTATTTTATTCTATTTTGTGGCTTTCGCCTTTGGCTTATTCGCTGTAGGATGGTTAGGATTTAGAAGCAATAGTTTTTTAATGCACCATTGTCTTTGTTTCCAGTTCTATTTTTGTAAATTAAAATCCATTGCTTTGTCATTTGTAAATACTATTGCTGATATTGTGTTTTATTTGTAAATATTTATCTCGTTGCACTGCAGGAGTCTAAAGCTGTTAAACGGCGGTTTATCTAATATTATTAGGTCATTACGAATGTCGCTGTTCATCTAAAGCACGGGTATTTTTATGTTCTTTATTTGTTACTTAAACTTCCTACTGTAGATGTGCTTTTGTTTAACGATATGAAATCATGATCGCTTTTTTATTGTAAATTTTGTAAATTCCTTGTACGTATAAAGTTTGATGTTACATTAGCTGGGTTAGCTACACGAGCGTTTGTTGTAGCTAAAGGCGTTGGTCGAGTGAGGAGGTAATCTTGTTAATTTATGCTCTGTTTAAGTAGTAGGAAATTCAAATTTGGTACGGGTTGTTCTTTAGTCGCCATCGGAGGTGGTTCTAAGCAGTTTTATTCAATTAGTTGCTGGGTAAGTAGTGATTCACGCGTTATGCTCTTTGCCATTGAAACTTTATATAGTGTGAAACGGTTTGCATGGTTTAGAAGTGCTTGAGCCTTATGTTTTTGCGAGGAGCAGAGGAATCTGTTTTTGAGGAGCTTTTGGAAGTGAAGCATCGGCCTCAAGAATGGAAGGACCGCCCAACAGAGTGGGAGAAAGCTGGGGAGAACAATGTTGTTGATTGCATGTTTACTAGTGGTGCGTACGCTGGATGTATTAGCGGAACATCAGGCGGGTACAGGAGCGGATGGGTGTGGTTTTTTGTGAAGTGTGTCAGGTCGTGTGCGTTTCGTAAGCTTCTTGAAAGTAATAAAATTTATATGAGAGGTTTCAGATTTTTTGAACAACAACAGTTGAAGTAAGGCTGTAAGTGTCTCGTCATTCTACTGGAGTCGGGGTTGCATCACTATTCTTTTTGTTACCAGAATGAAAACACCTATATTAATTTCAGGGTTGCTAGCAATTTTGTTATGTTTTTTGGCCACGATGTTCAACTTATTTTGGCTGTATTGGTTGTCGCCTAGTTAGTAGCAGTGAGATGTAGGGGTCAGAGCTAAAGTATCATCTCGGTAATCTTCATTTCCTCTTCAGGTAGAAATTCTTCCTGGGTATGCCTTATTATAGCAGCTCCAACCGTTATTTAATTGCAGTTCTTTAGTGACGCTTCTGCTTTTCATAAGGTCTCATGAGAAAAATTAATACGTTTTAAATCACATTAAGTGTGCCTTTTAAACTGCGCCCATTTTATAATTCATTGGTCTTTTTGCTTATCCCATTTCTCGATTCGAGTATTTTTTGTTCATATTGTTCTGCGTCAAAAATATTAAAAAAAATTACTTATGTAAATGATATACTTGCTTGCTAGGAGACTTCTAAAATAGGTTCGTTTTTTAAAATGGCTCGGTTGGGTGAAAAATTTTGTTAATCTTATAGGCTGTATTCTTTTAGATTTTATCTTTTGAGAATAGCCTTTGTTGTTCTATGACGTTTTGATGAAATTGACTTCGAATAAGTTTTAGTTTTTTCATCTGATCCGGAATGATTTTGAGTTTCATTTAACCGATTTATTG